AACTGATGGTGTTGAGACAAAATTATGAGATTTTAAAAGATGTTTAAAAAAAATTCAAAGAGTAAATACAGGAATCAAAGATTTGATTAAGTTACAAGAACCAGTGGGGAATGAAGGACCCTTGTTAGCAAGACAGACTCCATATTGCTGCTTGACCCACCTTTAGATGAACTCAGAAGGAAGAAGCTTAGAAACCTCCTCCCCTTAAGAGAGTATCTTAGAAACAACAATTAATCAACCATTGTTTTACAAATGTTCTAACAGCAGGACATTCCGCTTCTGTACATTTTGCTTGCTTTACTAGTTCTATCCCATAGGGGGGCCTAGAAACTGTTGGCCTCAAAGGTGTATAAAACATGTTTGTCAACCCCCAGTCGAGACTCAAGTCTGATGCTCGGCTTGGGTCCTGGCTGGTAATAAACTCCTGTGTGGATTTAATATCGTTCTCTGGTTGGTTCTTTCTCGCTAGGTGCAACAGTTATTAGATATTATATACCATGTGTTCGATAGACCACAATGAATACAGTACTTTCACAGGGTGCAAATGCTAAGAGCAGACAGCAGAGGGCAGCATACCCCTAAAACCATAAAAGCAGCTTTCTCTATTAAACGTTTTATTTTTGGATAATTTTGGAAAAAATTCCTAACATAAATACTTAAAGTTTAAAAATAAATTGAAGTGAATCTTTAGTTTATATAATCAAGTTTGATTTAAAAAATGTACCCATCTGCAAAAAATAACGGTAAACCAAACCTTACCTTCATGACAACAGGTTTCTCAAAATTATATATAGAATGGGCCTTCCTTTGAACAAACTTCTGAAACTCTGGAGAGAAAGGAATGACATTAAGACCCTCAAATAAACAAAAGAGGAGAGTCAGAAGCTCCACCAAAGTCTTATCTCACCATTATAGACCATTTGAAAATTAAAGGGCTCCTCTTCATAGATGTCATTTAAATGTTTCATAGCTATTATAAGACAAATTTCCAAGACTGACAGTCCTATAGTAAAAGGAAACAAACTATGAGTTGTAGTTTAGTGATCATAAGATTGACTACTGTGAGATAATCATAAGAAATAACTGTCCCCAAGAAGCAGAGACAGAAAAGATTATCGTTTTGAAGGGTGGAGGAGGTCAAGATTCCTATAGATTCAAATGTGTTGTAAACTATTATCTACAACAAAAAACCTCAACCTCTAAGTTTAGTTTTTAATATCTACACAGTAAGGACCTTTCTAAACTTACAGACGTTCTATAAGGATTATCAAGCACTCATTGCATGACCCACAGTAAACAATAACAGAAACTATGATTATGTTACTTCAAATCACACAGGTCCTTTGATTCAGAGAATCAAAAAACTCCAGAAAATTATATCTAAAATTTTGAGTGCAATTTTTTCCCTAGAGAGAAAAATGCTCATTAGATTATGAAAAGGGATAACGAACCCAAAGTAACTAATTGTCAGTGAATTCTCTTCTCACTTGGTGCAATGAGAACCTCAACAATTAAGTCTTACTTGGCTTTCCAATATGGCATTAGAGGCAGTGTCAAGTTTCCGTCACTTTCAATGAGAGCAAAAAAGTTGCATAAAGGACTGAGTTAAAGGCTATATGGATATAAAAGTATTCTGTATATAAAGTACTATGCTCAATTTTCATAATTCTGAAAACATCAAACTCAATTTTAAAAAAATGACTAATAAAGCAGATTCTCACCATGTACAACATTTGCTTTAGAATCCATGCTACATAGCTGGGCTGCCTCCATCAGATCTGCTGCAGTCAGAAATGGGTGTGATGCTGTTACTCGATTTAAAGCAACCATCTATAAAAATGTAGACCAGAAAAACATTTATTTACTTGGGCATTTTGGAGATAATTACTGAGCAAAGTTTCTGAATTTGTATAGTCTATTATTATGAAAGAAGAATGCTTGGGAAAGGTATTATAAAATTTAGCTCTTTTAAAATACAGTATTTCAATTTATATGTCACATAGTTTCATTAATGTAAATAAGAAAACGGTTTTGTTGTTTTCCCAGCTATTTCTGAGCTGCATTGCATTTATTTACTCTTCAAAAAAAGAATATTTCAAGAAGAGTAGGAGAAAAACTGACAATAATACTAATCAAAACTCCAGACACAAACCAAAAAGGCCAATCTATGTCTTATATTAACTTTTGTGGTTTTTGTTTTTGTTTGTTTTCTGGTACCAGGAATGGAACTCAGGACCTTGTGCTTGCCAGGTGGGCGCGGAGCCACTGAGCTAAATCCCCAGTGCTTTGTATTAACTTTTAACTCTTTTAAACCAGACAGCAGAAGTTAGGGTCAGACAGAACTTACTTAAGTAAAAGAAAGGCAAACAAAAATCAAATTTATACCTGTAGAAACAACTCTTCTTGAAAGCCAGGTCCATTTCTCATGGACTTTTCATTTAGTTTTCCCAAAACTAACAAAGTTCCTGCACTAAGGTTCCCACTCAAGTATACATTTTTTTCTTTGCTTACTATATTTTTCATTAAAAATTAAGTTGTTATTTAAGATTTAGTAAATAGAAATGTGCAACATCAGGCTAAATTTGAATTTCAAAAAACAATGACTGATTACTTAGTATAGGTAAGTACCATGCAATATTTAAGAATAGTTATGCTAGAAACTCTTGCCTCCATCTTATAATATTAGGGTACAAATGTCTTAGTTACTAGAAGACACTGGAAATCCTTGCAGTTCATTCTCCTACTGGGCAGGATCCAGACCACCAGTAGATCTTTCCTTGTTTCCTTTCATTATGAAGTATTTCTTCATATACAAAAAGGCAACAGAGAATCATGTATCTATGATCACTTTAAGAATTATAATTTTATAGAGTTAAAGCAAGTCTCCTCTCCTGAGTGGACTCTACCTTACACTACATAAAACAACCACACAAATCTTTCTTACTTCTACTTTCATTTCTACTACATATGCAGGCATTCCTAGAACACCACAAAGTAATATTCAAAGTTTTTTTGGTACTGGGGATCAAACTTAGGACCTTGCACTTGTGAGGCAGGCGGTGGAACCACTGAGCTAAATCCCTGGCCCTCAAGTTTTATATAAATACTGCATTGTACTTTTAAAGCTCACTTCGCACTGCATATTTGAGAACTTACCCATGTTAAGGTGACAATTCTAATTTATATATATTATACATGTATATTTACATACCTATATATAACTACTCTAAAAATTTAGGCCACAGATTCCTTCATATTAACCCTGTTGCTAAGAAAGTCAGTATATTTTTGATGGCCAGGAGGGGGATAAACTAATGAGAAGAAGTTCATAGGGAGAATGACAAATTTCTTCAGCAAATATGGTAATGGGGAAGGAGTACTGGCAGAACCACATAGTAAAGTAGGACAAAAGATCGTTCTGGCCAAAAAGCCTTTGGTTGAGCTCTGGCTTTGCCATCAACCAGCTATGAGCAAGTTTTTTCACCTCAAGGAAACTCTACTTATTTAAGGGGAAAGAGTAAAACACTTAAGGACAAAAACTAGTATTACTGCAATGTTTAGAATTAACAAGGTAGTATTACCTGGTAGATGTGTTAATCAGTAAATGGTGGTTGGTATTTTATTATTATTGTTGTTAATAAACTATTTTCTCTCTGAAAAGTATCTGCCATAATTTTCTAGAAATACTGAGCTAATGCTAAATAACTCTTCTGAAGGTTCTTTAGTTTTTAGAATAAAGTAACTCTTGATCACTATTTATATTATTAATGCTTAAAATGTAATTACTCATTAAAAGACCATAACCAAATGGGATTTATTCTATATATGTAAGGCTGATTTAACATTGAAAAGAAAAAACCCAATGTAATCCAATATATTAACGTCTAAAGAAAAATTATATGATCAACTGATTCAGCTTTTCACAAAATCCAAGACTCATTCCTAATATTCTCAGCAATAATCTAAACTTAATAATGAGCATGTTTTAAAAAAGGAACCTACTAGTTAATAATGTATGTAAAGTAAAAATTGAATGCATTCCTTTTAAGACTGGGAACAAAGAAGGAAGTGAAAGCACACCACTAATATAACAATGGTGGAAGTTTTAGCAACTGGAGTAATGCAGGAAAAAAAATTAAAAGGCACATGGATTGCAAAGCCAAAAAAACCCCACCTAATAATATGACTGCATTGAAAATCTGAAATCTATTAATAAAACTGGAGTAAACTCACCAATATAAAAATATCAGATTAACACAAAAATATCAATTACATTTGTACATACTAACAACATGATGAAAACAAAATTTAAAATTATCATTTGCAACAGTTCCAAAGAAAATGAAACAGTCAGGTACTATATACTTATAAAAATCTGATGAAAGTAATCAAATAAGAATTAAATATACTGAAATATGTACATATTCAGGGTTTTGAGCACTCAATGTAGTAAATATGTTAAATGTCCCCAAATTTATCTACACATTTAATTGCTATGAAAACTTAATCAATACTCTTATATACTATTGGTGGAAATGCAGCTATTATGAAAGATCATATAGAAGTGCCCCCAAATATTGAAGATACATGACCTAGTAATCCTACCACTGGATATATACTCATATGAAATGAAATCAGTGTGTTGAAGAGACATTTACACTCCTATGTTCATTGCAGTGATATTCTTAACAGCCAAGAAATGGAAACACGCATCAATCAACTGATGAACAAATACAAAATGCTCTTACACAACGGAATACTATTCAGCCATAAAAAGAATGAAACTGTTATTTGTGACAAGAGCGAAGGAATGGAGATCATTTTATTAAGCAAAATACAATAGGCACAGAAAGACAGTACTTCATAATCTCAATTACATGTAGAATGTAAAAAAATTTTACCCTATACAAGTTGAGAGGACAAGGTGGTAAGTTATCAGAGAATTGGATTGGAGGGGGTGGTAGTGTGAAAACGTTCATCAACAGGTACTAAAGTTACAGGAGCACTCAGCTTTAGTATGCTATTCCACTGTAGGGTGACTGTAGAAAACAGACCATACATTTCAAAAAGCTACAGTATTTTTGAAAGTTTCCATCAAAAAGAAGTAAACTAGGACATGGATATGTGTAATCTCATTTAAACATTATCCAATGTATACTCCTATCAATACATCACAAGATAGCCATTTCTATGTATAATTTTTATAATCAGTTAAAATAAATTTAATTAAAAAGTACAAACCGATAGCATGTGTAACGACCTCAGGTCTTTGCTGACATTAAAATGCTTCAGTAGAACGTCTCGTACGCTTTTATCTTCTGAGAGACTCTAAAGGACAAAAAAAATTGAAGGAATGCAGTTTAAAACCTAAATATAATCATGTACTCTAAGTGGTTAGTAGACTTGATTAACTCTATCTGATGTTTATTCATTATTAAACAGATATTGGTTGATCTAAAGAACAGTAAAATCATAGCCAAATTTTCAGTCTACTGATTTTTTTCTCCCCTGATGAACACAAGAATGAAACAATTCTTGCTACTCCAAAATTTCTAATCTAGTAAGGGGAAAATATACCGTTGCACTAGTAGAATGAACAAAATGTAGCACAACATGTAACAGTGAATGAATATTAGTGTACTTGAAAAACAAGAAATATTCTAAGAAAGTGTCAAAGAGGGAAAAGCCTCAAGTTATGAGCAACGTAGGGAATAGCATGTCATACTGACACAAAACAAGAAGTCCTTTGCACCCAAGTTTCATTTATTTGCAAAAGGATAGTATTCAAAGACAAAGAAAAGAAAACTTCAATGAAGGCAATTCCATCTATTCATAGCAAAGACAAGGAGGGTATGAATTAACAAAGTGGTACGAATAAAAGAGAATTAGGATATTCATAAAAGATAATCTGATAAAGAACCAACTGATAAGGAGAAGAGAAAGATTTGAAAAAAGAAGACAAAATCAAGGATGAACCATGGGGGAAAGGACTCCTTGTGAAGAGTGACACATGATCAGAAGTGTGCTTCGGAATACTAACATTTATCGATATTTAAACAGATGGACAAAGTAAAAAGTAATCTGGATAATACACACTGGAAAATAATTCAAGACAGTAGTGATCTAGAAAACAAGGGAAGAAAACTTGAAGAGGGAAATGTTGATCTAGAGTGTAAACCACTGTGCAAAATTAAACTGAGACATAATCCGAGAAAAGGCTAACAGTTTTAGAAATCTGGAGACCAAAAGGGCTCTTTGAGAAAGCAATTATCTAGGGCCGGGGATTTAGCTCAGTGACACCGTGCTTGCCTTGCACTTGCAAGGTCCTGAGTTCGATCCCTGGTACACCCCAAAAAAAGAAAGAAAAAAAAAAGCAATATCTAAATGAGCCAGAGACTCTAATGAATAAGGATTCAATGGAAGGTGAGGAACCCTTGGCACTAAAGAAAAAATTAGATGAGAGTAAATTCAGAGGGTGCAGAAACATAAAGGAGTAAGAAAATCTGGAATAATTTTTTAAATATCATCTGCATGAAATATTCTTTCTTCTTTATTAAAGAAAAATCTGGAACACTAAGCATTTCTATATTTGCTAGAGCTAAAACTACATGTCTTTATTTCTCCCACTGTTATGAGGATTCCTTTTTCAGGAAGACATTCTAGTCTATTGGAATTAAATTTCATATGTTCAATAAATATATCATACCAGTTAAAGTTTCCACTTCCAGGAATCCTAACTATTATATGCCTGTGGGTAGATTTTTTTGATCAAGGCTAGTTGGGGTCCTATATGCCTCACTTATCTGTATGTCAAGTTCTTTTCCCTTGCTTGGGAAGTTTTCTGCGACCACTTCTGTGACCAGTTTTTTTTTAATGTCAGCTGCACTCTCTCCTGTTTCTTCACTGACTCCAGTCAGTCTTATGTTATTCTTCTTTGCATTGTCTAGCAGCTGCTGGATTGATTTCTCGTGGTCCCTTACAATTTTAAAGCAATTTTTCTTTTCCTGGTCACTAATTGCAACCTTATCTTCTATATCTGAAATTTCTCACATTGGCTCATCCTGCTGGGTAGACTTTCAATGGAGTTTTAAAATCTCCTGGAAATCTGTTTGCACCTGCTTTATGGATTCCATTTGTTTCCTATGTTGGGATTCCATCATGTTCCTCAGCTCCTCTCTCGATTTATTAATCATGTCTTGCACTATGGCACAATCTCTGCTGTTAACGTGAGAAATTATTTCTGATTTCATTTTTTTCCAGATCCTCTTTTGTTGCCAGTTCAGGGAGTCCAGGTGGTTGAGTATCAGTGTTCCATCTGGTTTCCCTTTGGGGTTGCTGTAGGTGATCTGGGAATCTGGTTTTGAGGCTTGTTTACGTGTCTTCTCGTTTTGACGGGGTGGGGTGTGGAGGAGGTGGTGGTGCTGCCGGCTCACGCGGCTCACCTCCTCTGTGCTGGGAACGGTGGGACATAAGCCCGGAAGCCTCCTCCTCTGCACTGGGAGTGGCCCACTTCCTTTTATTATATTTAATATTCTCTTTTTACTTTAAAAGGTTTCTTATCATATATTTTTAAAATAAACAAGCCAAAATATCCACTGGAAGTATATTAGTTGAACATAGAAAGACAATATAAATAAATTTTAACCTTCTCCATAGTCCTTAGATTTTTCTTTTTTTCAGGCACCAGGGATCCAACTCGGGACCCTGTGCTTGCGAGGCAGGGGGCGGAGCCACTGAGATAAATCCCCAGCCCTAGTCTTCAGATTTTAATTAAGAAATTTAAGAAGTATTGCGGCTAATTATAATAGGCAAACTACAGTCTTGACTTCGATAATCTCTGACTCTTAGCAAGTCATTTATAAAGTTGATGTGGTAAAAGTGAAACATTTAGGAAAACTAAAGAAACTCATCTGGGACAAAAATAATGGATGAAAATTTTCTCCACAAAAATTCAATTATTTTTAAAAACCATATTTAGCTTTCTTTGGCATGATAACTTAAAGGGTTAACCTATGCACTGCCTTCCAAATATAACTTAATATTTTTAGTGGTCTGACTCAAATTCTTGCTTTTGAAAGCTATCACTTTCCCATTTGCATACTTTAATTTTAAAGAAAATCTACATCATCTATATGTAAATTACAAAACATGTAATTTCATACCTTTTAAACTTTAATTTGATCTTGATCCAAATGTTATAAACATCTGAAGATAAGGTTATTAATAACTAGTTCAATTAACTGTAGTACTTAGAGGCATTTCTTTTGAGAAGTAGATGTAATTCTTTTAAATGCTCCTTTTCAGGGACTTCCCTTATTTTGCCAGGCTGCAATGCAGTCTACCCCGTTTACTTGATTCATTTGATGTAGGGCCAAAATAAACTTTCAAATTAAGCAGGAAGTGAAGGTTCAACCCTATACTGAAGACATTTCTTGAAAGAGAGTCCACAGATGACCTGTTATTTCCAGCAATGTTTTCAGTTTAATCTTGCAGTTTCAAAAATCTGCTGAGTAGTCAGCACTGGCACAAAGGATAGCTCCCTTAATTCAGCCTTCCCCACATATCCACACCCAACCAGAGACTCTGGCCATGGTGCTGACAGATTTTTCAAAGGAAACTTCTTAGCATATCAAAGGAAAGAGGTACAAAATGATTGGCATTAGAAGAGACAATACTATAACTATCTACTTTAATAGTGTTAGTTCTACTTTATGCATCTGAAAAAGATATTCATACTTATCATGTGCCTCTAAATTTGGGGAATATAAAGTCTGCAAAAAAGGACTAGAAAACTAGGGTTGAATCACCATGCGGGTTACCATTTTGTCATCCAAGTATTGCTTCACCAATAACTGGCATCATGCTCTTTATATTCAGTCCTCTCTTGGTACCTGCAGGGGATTGAGTAAAGATACTCCACAGACTGCCAAAATATGACAATGCTCATGCCCCTTAAATAAAATGGCATAGCATTTGCATATAATCTAGACACATTCCTTAAATCATCTCTAGATTACCTACAATACTTAATATAATGTAAATGCTATGAGTTATACTGCAGTGTATAGGGAATACTATGATATAAAAGTCTGCACATGGTCAGATGTAATTTTTTCAAAATTTTTTTTTGTCTGTGGTTGAATCCAAGGATGCAAAACCCATGCATGGATAAGGAGGTTCAACTATATTCACTTTGAGACACTCAGAATGTAACAGAGACACAAAGATAGATAATGGCAAAGAGCAGCCTCAGCTATGTAGTTAACTTGGGAAAAGATAGTGTGTAGGAATAGAAATATTAAATGGTCCTGGATAACAGACTATGAAAGATTGCATTTATTTTGGGCAATAAGAGAAATGCAGAAGGCATAGCAATGCCTGATTTGAAGCCATAATACAAAGCAATAGTGATAAAGACAACATGGTACTAGAACAAAAACAAATACATGGATCGATGGAATATAACTGAGGATACAGAAACCTCTCCAGATATATTTAACTATAAAATGGAACAAAAGCATATGTTGGAGGAAAAATAATCTATTCAGCAAGTGATGCTGGGAAAACTGGTTATCTGTTTGCAGCAGATTGAAAATTGCACCCTTCTCTTTCACCATATACTAAATTAAAATCAAAATAGATCAAAGACTTAAACATTAAAACAGAAACATTAAACCTACTAGAGGATAATATAGGTGAAACACTTGAAGATATAGGTGTGGGAAAAGATTTTCTAGAAACAACTTCAATGGCACAAGAAATAGCAACAAGAATAAACAAATGGGATTATATCAGACTAAAATGCTTCTGTATGACAAGAATGATGAAGAGACAATCTACAGAATGGGAAAAATTTTTTGCCAGCTACTCTTCAGAGGACTAATATCTAGAATATACAAAGAATTAAAAAAAATTAAACCACCTAAAATTAAAGACCCAGTTAAGAAATGGGCAACAGAAATGAACAGACACTCCACAGAGGAAGAAATACAAATGGTCAAAAAATATATGAAAAAATGTTCAACAACTCTGGCCATTAGAAAAATGCAAATTAAAACAACGCCAAGATTCCATCTTATTCTGGAAATAATGGCAATCTTTAAGAAATCAAACAAGAACAAATGTTGGTGTAGCTGTGGTGAAAAAGAAATCCTCTTGCATTATTGATGAGAATGCCAACTAGTACAGTCATTATGGAAATCAGTATGGAGATTTCTCAAAGAACTGAAATTAGAAACTCCATATGACTCAGCTATCCCCCTGGTGTCTTCCCCAAAGAGTTTAAGTCATCATAGTACAGTGATACATGCATAGGAATATTTGTAGCAGCACAATTCATAACAGCTAAATCCTAGAAGCAGCCTGTATACCCGTCAACAGATGACTAGATAAAGAAAATGTGGTATCTATATGTAAAGGAATATTATTCACCTATAAAAAATATCTAAATGGATACATCTGGAAAATATAACCTTAAGTGAAATAAACCAGACACACAATCTTAAGTGTCATATGGTATCTCTCATTTGAGGCAAACCAAAAATGAAATGATAAAGGAGGAATAGAAGGGGACCAGGGGATGGATCTCTTGCAATAGGGAAGTGGTTCAAGGAAACAAGGGCAAAGGGTGAGGAGGAGGGGAAGGGGAAATAAGAATAAAGATATGCCATGTACAGGAACCTATTAATGTAAATATTACATGCCATGACAATATCAACAGGAATGAAAAATGGGATAGGGCAACTGGAGGAAGGAAGGAGGGGAAAGGAAAGGGAAGGGGATTAAAACAAAAAAGAAACATGTTATAATATGCACATATAATCATTCCCCAAGATGACTGTAAACTATATGAACTGCAAATATGTACAAATAAAATTTTTAAAAAGACTGCATTTGAATAGCTTAAAAACAGAAAAATACATGGTTAGAATGAAATCCTACAATTAGAAACACTAACAAAGAAAACTTGCCTAAGCTAACTTGACTAAAAAATGTGAATTTCAAAAAAGATTAATTAGGATTGGAAGGGGGGATCCTTATCTAATTATATCAAGGCATTATATGTGAATTTTGAGAATAAAATCAGCCATTTTAACATACAATTCTGTAAGGTGGTATTAGGAAAAACAGTGGAAGATTATGAATCAGAAAGAATACAGTGAAGAAAGTAAAACAAAGAGTTAAGATGTAAGCTTTGAAGCCTTTAGATAACAATAAACTTAGTAGGGACCAGGGATTTAGCTCAGTGGTTCCACCACCTACCTCGTAAGTACAAGGTCCCGAGTTCAATCCCCGGTACCAAAAATAAATAAATAAATAAAATAGACTTAGTATGTTAAGGTTCAACACTCTATAAGAAAAAAAAAAAGAACAGATATAGATACATGGGAAATTTTGATTTTTTTTTACTATGTATTCTTCTACACCGACTAAATTTTTCAACAAGCTTTTATGATCAACAAAAATCAACTGTGTGTCAAAATAGTGCTTATGTGGGCATATTATATAATTAAAACAATAATTACTTTAAAAGCAAAATAAATGTAAAATTCTCACTGTTAATTTGGTATTGATATCTAAGACATTTAGTGAAAAGAATATAATCTATCATAATTGCTTTACCATAGAACAATTACTTCTTCAGAGCTAATGAATCCAGACTGTAAAATTCTTACATTTAACATTATAGTTTTCTCTAATCTTCCCAAACAAAAAACTGTATAATATTTTCCAATACCACAATATTTGTATTATTTTAAAGATTCTGTCATGAGGGAATTATTAAAAACATCAAAACTATTTTCCTTTTATGTTACTGAACACATACTCATATACATTCCCTCCCTTCCCCTTGCTAACTGAAATTTCTTGTCAGCATAAGATTAAACTTGTAATAGCACTGAGAAGATATAAAGCTGAAGTTGTTTATAAGAAAGTGAAACACAAACATCCGCACATGATAGGCATGAACCATTAATATAGTACTTTGTTAAACTTACAAAATTTAAATTATGTAAATTGACAAAATTAGCTAAACTATGAACCAGAGAAAAGAAAAATGTCACAAATGTTTTCAAAACTTCACAAAATGTTTACTTGAAACTACAGATGTTACTGCTACAGCTCAACTGTGAAATTCTTTCAAGAGAAAGGATTAAGGATATATAACATTTTAATTGCCTTTAGTAAGAAAAAGGGTATAAAATTTGTATTCTCCCAGTCACAAAATTTGTGATTGTAACTGCTTTAAACCATAGTGTTATGGCTTGTATCTAGATGTTCCCTTAAAGTCTCAGGCACTCATAGGCAGGGCTTTTTGGAGCTGGCAGGATCTAGTCCATGTGGTACTGGTATTATGGATGTGTAGTGCTAAGTTAGTTCACTGATTGGAATTACCATAGTTCTGGATGTAGCTGAATGGATTTAGTGAAGAAAGAAGCCTTACTGTGGGTGTCTGTGGTACCACTCAAAAAGCTTACAGCCTGGATGGGATAAAATGGGAAAAGATGCTTGCTGCTGCTGCTTTGCTGCTTTGCTGCTTGCCATGCCATAGACTCTTTCTCCTCTGCAATGCTCCTCTGCCATGCTCCCCTGCCTTGGACCCAGCTAACTATGGACTGAAATCTTTACAAACTGTGAGCTGAAATAAACCTTTCCTCCTTTAATTTGTGGGTATCAGGTGTTCTGTCACAGCAAAGAGAAAAGTAAGCAAAACACGTAGCAAGACACATTAATTACTTGAACATTATTGCCTTCAAGTTACCTGAACGTTCTCATTCCACTTCTCAGCAAAAAGTTTATCTGGAAATTCTACAGGTAGAGATAACTGTTCTTTAAATATTTTTACATACTGTGGAAAACCAAATGAATTCATTAAGTGTATCTGCCGGTGAGAAAATCGTGACTTCACTCTTTTTTCTAGGAGTTCCAAAATATCCTTAAAAACAAAGAGAAATCTCTATAAGATGTATACTTAAAAAACACAGGACTAATGTTAGAAGTACAAGTTAAACCATTATCCACAATTAGTAATGCTTATTCTATGGTACACAATTAAGCATTTAAAAAACACAGTGAAGTATTTGTCATAAAGAATGAAGTTGTTATTTGCAGCAAAATGGAGAGAATTAGAGGCCACTATATTAAGTGAAATATGTCAGACATGAAGTCAAGTACCATATGTTCTCTCATATGTGGAAAGTTAAAATCCTTGGTGTGACAGTAAAATAGTGATTACTAGAGATTGGGACGGTCCTATGATAGGGAGGAATGCAGAAAAAGGGTTGCTGGATTTGATCAGTGCATGCTGCATGCATGTATAGAAAAATTACATCAAACCCCATTAATACAATTAATACACATTAATAAAATCACAGAAAATAAAGAGAATGACAACATCCACAAAAAAGTATACAAGGATGTTCACAACAGCATTATTCACAAGAGCTTAAAAAATGTAAATAATCCAAATATGCATCAACTGAGGAATGCGTGAACAAACTGTGCGATGCAGTGGAATATTACCCAGGGATAAAAAGGGATTGTTATATATTACAATATAGATAAGACATTGAAAACACTAAGTGAAATAAGCTAGTCATAACAGACTTTATATCATGTGACTGAATTTCTATGAAATGTCCACAATTTATTATTATATTTATTTATTATTTATTATACAGAATGTAGACTTCTGGTATCCTAATGTTGGGGTAAAGATGGAGGTGGGGATATCAACTGGATCAACTGGATCTCCACAATCCAACTGATTGTAGAGATATATGCATAACTGTGAATAAATAACCCAGTGAACTGTATGGTTGAAATACATAAACTGTATGGTTTATAAATTATACCTCAATAATAATGCTAGTTTTAAAAAATCTACCCCAAATATGAATATTTATATTTGATGATTGTAAGGAATCACTGCTAATATTTAAGGAGGTAAAATAAGGAGATATATTTTTTAAATGAGCCTTTGTTATCTGAAAATAGACTTTGAAACACTGATGAAGAGTCATTAGGGCCTGCTTTTTCTCAAAATAATACAGGAAAGAAAAGAGGTGTAACAGGATAAATGAAACTAACTTACAATAACTGTTGAAGCTAGATAAATGAACAAGGAGATTTAAGTCTCATTATATTTTCTCTCACGTAAGTTGTCCTTTATATAAGGGAGCAGTAATACAATATTTTGTAGAAAAACAAAATTTTAAATCTCATTGGATGATATCCTCACAGAAGCTCAGTTAAAAAGCCAGAGGAAATAAGTTGAGTGATTAAAATAGGAAAATGGACAGTTTAGGAAGAAGTACAAGAAAGACTAATAGTTTGCAGTAGTGTAAGGAAGAAAAATAAATATTTATACAGTATAGTGCTAGCATGAAAATCAGAAGGCTATTATGTCTAGAGACAAGGGTACCGTACATCTATTTTCTACTGAGGAGGAATTCTACATTAGATGGTGGAAAAACCGTGAAACTAATACTGTATACAATAATTAAGAACCTGAACTTGGTAAAAGACAGAAAGAAATAAAGTAAAATATGCTCTAGTTGTGGATAGTCATGACAAGTTAGCAATGTGGGCAGAAGGAACAGGAAAAAGGAAGAAGAAATTATTTCCAAGGAGGAAGAGGCTGCTTGCTGGCAAAGTCCTTATTCCCCCTATCCCTTTGTTTCTCCCTATAAATATACAAACATAGGTACAATTATATTTGAAAGAACTACATAACTGGAGAATTCTACATACAGAATAAAAATGCCTCTTGTTACACTGCTAATGAGCTACTGACTTTTCAGTTGGGTCCTTCACTGGCTGAGAAACATTTGCCACTGCCACTTCTACCCAAAGAAATTTGTTGGCTGTTTTTAAGGAATAAAGAAGGTGGTTCCTTTAGCACTGTGATACCCTTATGTCTTTGGCAAGGAGAAATAAAGATATGGAGTACCAGCCAGATGTTCCAAGAAGGCACACACTCTAAGTACTAGAGCACATAAGGAAAGCAGGCAACAGCACTTGAAGGACTGTTGAAAGTTGACTTGGTAAAAAGTTTCACTTTTCTAAAAAGGAGAAAAAGCTATAGGAAAGGAACATATGTAAACGGGCCTCACACAAGCCTATTTAGGAATACAGAGGGAAAATGATGGAAGAAAACTGTGGAGACATGACAGTCACAATATCAGAGAGATGATTCTTAAATCAGTTTTATTTGAATTCAGTAAGAAAGTTCATACTATAAAAATGTGATAAGATAAACTATAACTGTTCAAAGGTACACAAGCTTCAACATGTTATGCAGCCTTGATCAAGTGAGGTGACAGTTGACACTGAGATTGTGGTGGAAATCACTATAAAATCCCCCAAGGAATAAAGAAGCCCCTCTACTATTACTGTTTGATAAAAACAATCTCTTCTATTTCTGGAGATATGTACTTAAAAAGTTGGGATAGTATTTCAAGTTGGTTTCAAACACTCTTAAAATACAAAAAACAAAAAAGCATAAAACAGAAGAAATTATCTTTTTATTTTAGTTTTCTCAACATATTAATTCATTGGCTTTTTGAGACAGGGTCTAGCCATGTAGTTCAGGCTGGCCATGAACTCACTATGTAGCCCTGGCTGGTCTTGAACTCATGACAATTCTCCTGCCTCAGCCTCCCGAGTGCTGGGATGACAGACATGCACCACCACACTTGGCAGGATAATCAATTTTTTAAAATATACTTACCAACCTACATGTAAGACCTATAACTGCTACTGGAGTCTGTGGAGACTGAGAAATGTCAAAAAGATTATAGAGCAGTGTCTGATTTTTATGATGAGCAAAAAGATCAAATTCATCTAATATGAAGATCACTGGGCAACTACTAGTCCGGTCACCTAAGATAGATTGAAAAATTTACATTAACAGGCAATTATACCAACTTTTCCTAAATCTCCAAACTATTTACTATCTTTCACCTTCTGAAACTCAGTAAGCATATATAGATAAGCTACGTTATAAAACCATAAAAATTTACTGACTACAAAGCAACAGGCAAAATTATTTCAGTTGTACAAAAGTTATTCTATTTATGTATCTATAGCATTGATACATGGCAGGTAAATAAAAATTGAAAACCAAATGTTAATTGCAAAAATTACGGTTACAGTTTTCATTTTACTCTTCTATTTTCTTTATCCTATATTACTTTTAAAGTTAAAGAGGAGAATAAAATTAAAAGCACTGCTTTGGTACTGCTAAACACACTAATATTTACCTTTTTTCAAAGCTTCCAGAAGAAATGAAAAGTTTTCAGCAAAACTTCCCTAAATAACAGAAAGAAGGTAATATATCTGTTTAGTTAAAAAAAAAAAAAAAAGGTGTCTGATCCTTAGTGTTTGTACAAAAACTACTCTTTTTTTCTAGTAAATGAGTCACTGGCCAGACTCTCAGCTGAACATCTCTAGTAAAACTTAAATATAAAAGCACAGATGACACTGAAAATAGTGATACTATGTATGAAATTTTATACTTTCCAGACAAAATCTGTAAAACTGTTTAACTTTTAGAGAGGTAATATATTCCAAATATAGTTGGGAGACCTAGAAATGCATTCTACTTTTTATGTTTAAACATATCAGGCTCTGTAAGTCTTAATTAATTTATACTACCAAAGACTACTATGAATGTAAATGGAGAACCAAAAGGAAAAGGCAGGGAGAACTTGCTTGAAATACTTGATAGTATGATTCTGTTTGTTCCACAGCATACTGATTTTTTTATCACATGAAATTTGCCTGTTTACTTGGGAAAAAAAAATATATAATATATATATATATATAAATGAATGAATATGCTCTTAAGTTGGGGCCTGGATGGAGGCAGCAGGCCACTGGGAATATGTCTTTCAAGAGTATACCTTGCTCCCAGCCCCTTCCTCTCTTTCTCATCTTCCTTTCTTTGCTTCCTGGCTGCCACGAGGTGAGCAGCTTTCCCCTGCCATGCATTTCTACCATGATGTTTCTGCTTTGCAGCTAGGTGACCATGGATTAAAACCCCTGAAACCAGACCTAAACATACAGCTCTTTCTTTAAATTGGTGCATGTCACATATTTTATCCCAATAACAAAAAGATGACTAACATAGTTGATTAGGTATGTAAAGAACAGACTGTATGTGATGATAATAACAGAGATAACTAAGAGAGAACGCTAAACAACTGTGCTTTGTTGTACAACTGTGCCAAGAGTAGACCACTACATCCTAGAGTCAGAATATTAAAGAACTGGCATGCAGAGCCAATGTGAGGACAGAATTTCAGATATAGAAGGTAAGATTGCAATTAGTGACCAGGAAAAGAAAAATTGTTTCAAAATTATAAGAGAACATGAGAAATCAATCCAGCAGCTGCTAGATGATGCAAAGAAGAATAACATAAGACTGATTGGAGTCAATGAAGAAACAG